GTTCGATTCCGGTCAAGGGCATGTACCTTGGTTGCAGGCACATCCCCAGTTGGGGGTGTGCAGGAAGCAGCTGATTGATGTTCCTCTCTCATCGATGTTTCTAACTCTCTAGCCTTCTCCCTTCCTCTCTGTGGAAAATCAATAAAATATATTTAAAAAAATAAAATAAAATAAAATAAAATGCTTTTTTTCCTGTAGATTCTACTAGTGTAGTACAGGTGTTGGCAAAATTATATTTGAGAAATATATGACCTACACATAAACATCTACAGATTTAAATCTAAAGAAACTGATTTTTTTTGCCAGTGTTACCATTCTTGGAACACAGCCACACTCATCTGTTTACACATTGTCTATGGCCTCTTTCACACTCTAACAGTAGAAATAAGTAGTTGCAACAGAGAGCACAATGACAATATTTTGTATCTGGCCCTTTACAGAAAAAAACTTCTAAAACAAACATTAATGAAATGCAAGTTTCCTGATATCTTACATTGTTTTTATCACTTTTCCTGATATATTTGAAAACATATCCTCTAAATACTAGAATATGCCATTAAAACAATTTTGGTACTGTTGGTCATATAACTAAAAACATCTCAATGGCTTAAGTCCAAAAATAATATGGTCTTCAATCGAGTAAACATATGTCATTAAATTAATTCAAGCAAATATACTTCCTAGTAGAGTTAACACCATTTAATAGTTATTAAACACTGGAAGACTTCAGTAACATTGGGATGTCAATTTTTAAAAATGTATTTTTATTGATTTCAGAGAGGAAGGGAGAGGGAGATAGAAATAGAAACATCAATGATGAAAGAGAATCATTGATTGGCTGCCTCCTGCGCGCCCCCTACTGGGGACTGAGCTTGCAACATTTCTAACCCTATTTATTTATTTATTTATTTATTTTAAAAATATATTTTATTGATTTTTTACAGAGAGGAAGGGAGAGGGATAGAGAGTTAGAAACATCGATGAGAGAGAAACATCATCGATCAGCTGCCTCCTGCACATCTCCCACTGGGGATGTGCCCGCAACCCAGGTACATGCCCTTGACCGGAATCGAACCTGGGACCTTTCAGTCCGCAGGCCGACGCTCTATCCACTGAGCCAAACCGGTTTCGGCGAGATATCAATTTTGAAGTTAAAATAGTTTAGCATTAAAAGTTGAAAGGAGCCGAACCGGTTTGGCTCAGTGGATAGAGCGTCGGCCTGCGGACTGAAAGGTCCCAGGTTCGATTCCGGTCAAGGGCATGTACCTGGGTTGCGGGCACATCCCCAGTGGGAGATGTGCAGGAGGCAGCTGATCGATGTTTCTCTCTCATCGATGTTTCTGGCTCTCTGTCCCTCTCCCTTCCTCTCTGTGGAAAAATCAATAAAATATATTTAAAAAAAAAAAAGTTGAAAGGAAAGGATTTATTTCTGGTCTATGTCTGCCGTATCTGAGCTACCATGTTCAACACACTTTAAGGAAGCATTTTGAACAAGGAAAACAATAATTTCTTCAATTTAGTCATACATACATGTACCAAATAGCCCCCCCCCCCCAAAAAAAAGCAAAAATCATATAATGGCTTCAAAACTTCTGCCCTTGGCCCTAGCAGGTTTTGCTCAGTGGATAGAGCTTCAGCCTTCGGACTAAAAGGTTCCAGTTCGATTCTGGTCATGACCATGTACCTTGGTTGCAAGCTCAATCCTCAGCCCCCAACCAATCGACATGTCTCTCTCACATCAATATTTTTTTCTCTCTCTCTATCCCCCCCCCCCCGCCCCCATTCCCTTCCACTCTCTCTAAAAATTAATGGAAAAACTATCCTAGGATGAGGATTTAAAAAAAAAAGGACCAAATAGTAGATCTGGAACATTTTCATTTAATCTTTCAAACATAAAAGCTAACACATAGGAAAGCAAATTACTTATTACTAATTTTTTACATTCTGTACCTATTTTCCCCTCTCCCTTCCCAAAGATTAGTTTATCACTGACAAAAGATCAAACCTTATTTCATAAAATTAAAGAAAACAAAGAAGTCTTCATTGTATATATAGAAGATAAGAAATCCTTTCCCTACCCAATACATTCTAATACAAAATTTTTTTAAGTTCCTCAAAGGAATATTGAGATATTTCTTATGTTTTACAATAAAATGATAGGTTATGCTATTCATGACAGAAAATTAATTTAGCAAGTTGATAAAAACAGGTATGGAAACACTGCAAAGGAAACAGGAGAAAAGTTAAGTATAAAATAAGGTTAAAATTTTCTTTCTTTAAATATTATATTGAAGTCAACTCCTACATAAAAAGATGAACCAATCCACAATATTCATTAAAATTTCACCAAAATCATAATATACATTAACTTAGTTTTTAAGAGAGCTCTCAGCTTAAATATTTCCACTTATATTTTTCATCTTCAACATTAAACTTCCAACATAAAAATTTTATGACATCTATTTGTTTTCTCAGAAGCTTTTTCTCAAAACAAAGAAATTATTTCCAAGTTAAAATTTTCATGCTGTTTCTTCAAAATTAAATTATTAACAGAACCAGAAACTACCCAAGAGCTATTTCTAAATATTATTAAATTTAAAGCCTAGCCTACAAAGCCTTTTCTCATTTTTCTCTTAATTTCTTTTTTACAGCACTGTAGTCACAAATATTTTAGTAAAAAAAGAGTATTTCCTGCCAAACATTTAAAGAAATTAAGTTTTTAATGCTCCGTGTAAGAAAGTACACTAAAGGCTAGAACTTTCTAAGGTGAATGTTAATACACATGAAATCAGCAATGGAATGATATAAAAGTTTGAGTGATTTTTTAAAATTATACATCCTTATAATATGAAAACATATCCCTTTATAATCAGAACTATGATCTCTTTATTAATGTAAATCATCAGATAATTTCTAATAAAACAATCCATAGTATTTCAAATTACAAAGAAATGTTTCCTACCTTGCCTGCTTCTCTTTCTAAGTCGACATATTCCCGGCTAGGTGTTTGTCGCTGTTCTCCCTGCCAGCTGGCCGGAAAAAACTGGAGAGACAGATTGGTTCCTGTGGCCACAAAAGCCTTTTAGAAAAATCAATACAAACAGGATCAGGAGCAGGACATTACATAAATTATGCAGGCAGTCATTTATTTTTACATCAGTTTCTGTCTTAAGCCAGGCAGCACCAAGAATACTTAAAAGTAAAAAACATGCACTCATCATTTTTCTTAAGTATTAAGTTACAAACATCTGATTCCATTTTGAGGACATTTGCCATTGGCTGCTTAAATATAAAATCAAGCCATGGAAATCAATACTTTCTTTCAGGTCAGTTCTTGCTGACGTTAGGATTGTGCATTGCTAATGTCTAACCAGAAGCCACCATCCCTGAATTTAAAAACTTTTATTTTTAAAGTGTGAAAATCACTGAAGATCTAAACATGTTGAATTCTAAAACATACAATTTAAAGTTGTATAAATGGGACATTTTAATTTTTCTTGATAGCCCTTGCTCTAAAGCCCATGTTAAAAATGCACAGGACTGTCCACTTCTGATAAACCATACATTAGCATGTGCCCTGACAGCACTTCCCATTCTCTCTAAAACCTTGGGTGATTAAAAAAAAACACACACACACAGCATTTTCTAAAATCTGACTTCAGGATAACTGGATCTGACTATTACAAAAGAGTATTCATCTAATATTTATAAAAGATTAGGATAGCTCAACAGACAGAACAATCTAAATCCATTGCAATGAAGTGTCAGTGTAGTCCCTGAGCAATTTAACTATATGTCCCCCCAAGTAAAAAAATGGAACACTGTCCCTTTTCCCCAAGGGAAATTAAGAAGTAAAAAGCATTTTGAAAAAACAACACATTTTTTATCATCTAAATGTAAATTTTCTTTGTTGGAATTTTTTTATTAATTAAAATAGAATGTTTTTGTTTTATTTTACCAATTAAAGTTGTAAAGCATAAAGCTTTCAAGCAGAGTCTTCATCTGAAAGGGGTTCACATTCTGGCGATTTGTTCAAAGCCTTTAGCTGATTCAACTATCCTCTAGTTCTCCTGATGATTAACAGCTTAGATTTTTTTAGAGGTAAAAACTATACTTCCTATTTTTATTACTGGTACCGTTAGGTACAATTGTCAACCTAACTGCTAAATTTCTACAGTTTTGATAGCATTTCCCTAATCAACTGGGATACCCTTTCTTATGAACAGACACTAAACAAACGTCATTACAATATTAACTTAAAAAAATCTTATCCCACTATTAGCTAAGTTTAAAAAACAATCAAGTGAAATTAAATAGTTTAAATTAAAAGTAGACTGCTAGCTATGTCCTTAGGCAAGTTACTTAACTCTACCTCAGTTTCCTCACAAATTAATATTTGTAAAGTGCTTAGAACAGATCAAGTAAATGATATATAAGTACCTGCTAAATAAAAGGAATAATTTTGAGCTAACCTTTTCCACCCTCAGATAATTAAATTCTCAGAGCACAGTGGTAGCAAATAAGAGATTCAGCCCATGAAATGAAGCCTTGTATCAAAATCTCCCAGGCAAGTTTCTTCAGTATTCACCTAGTAACAAATCCTTCCACCCACTGTACCCCAAATCAGCTCTACGCTCAGTAAAAACAGTCTACAGATCTTATTACCTCACCTCCTGTCTGAACACCAACCTCAGAAGAGATTTCCTGCTTCCTCACTTCATGCCCATTATCTCATCAAGATCCCTCTCTCTGAGATAGAAGTGATAAAAAAAAACAGATCATTCTAGAATAACATTTCCCAAATTTATTTGACCACAGAACTCTTTAATGGAATACCTATACATACATGAGCTCAGAAAATTATCTTCGAAAACATAAAAATGCTACACCGGCATCCCTGTCTATATGTAAGATTTCCAGATTGCCCCGACTATATTTTATGGTTTCATAAATTATAAAACAGCACACATTGTGCCAATCCAACATAGTTTTTATCCTTCCATTTTCAGGATTAAAAATATATGGTTTTGTCCTGGCCAGGTAGCTCAGTTAGTTAGAGCATTGTTCTGACACTCCAAGGTTGTCAGTTCAATCTCCAGTAAGGGCATATACCCAATGAATGCATAAATAAGTGGAACAACAAATCAATCTCTCCCCACCCCATCTCTTTCTCTCTCGAATCAATAAAATAAAATTTTTAAAAATATACACATGATTTTTACTGTTCTCCCAGTAGAGTCACCATACCTATCATAAGTATTTTTTTCTTTTATTAATCAGTAGTGTTGAAGACATCTCCAACACTTTTACTATAGTAAGAACTTACCGGGGGAATAAATCAGTTTACCAAATAGAATAGATTCTATCCCTCACCCATGATCACTTTTATTCATGCTACCATAAAATCTGGGTAAGTTTTATAGTTAAGAAGAGATGAGCATCACAGAGCTTAGGTTGGGAATAATTGTGGGAAATATGTATATTTTTTACAGTATATAACTGCTGTCAAAATAGAGGCCAAAGAATGCCTTTTCCATATCTATTTTCCCATAACCAAAGAGGTAAAAGCTACTGCCTGTTCATAAGTCAAAAGACAAATTTTAGGCATTACATTAAGTAACCTCTAAACTGAATTAATCAAGTACCTATGATGCAAAAGGCATTGTGCAAAGTAACTGCATAGAGGGGAGTATATTAATGAATATACCACAGAATTAATGTGGTCTCCACCCTCTAGGAGATAAGAATACCATACTGTAATTTACACGTGGAGAGCATTGAATTTAAAGGGGGGAAACTAGAGAGGGTAATGTGAAATTCCTTACCAAATATAAATAGTTACATTATTCAACAAATTAAGACACATATGCCATCTTAAGAGCAAATTTTTCAATGTACCTTCAACTTTTAATACTTGTCAGATATTAAGAACTTATTAAAATTTGTAGGATGAAATATTAGGAAGAGAGGAAGAACTAGAACATCTGTCTGACTTATCCCTGGAAAGTCTATGACAAATACAAGCCACCTATAAAATATTACAGCAACATTATAGTACAGTAATTCAGATACACTGCAGGTTAAATTATATTCCCAGTTCATAATTACATGCAGTAAAGGTCTGATATGACAGAAAAACTGTTAATAGCTAGTCTTCATTTGGTTTTCAAAAAACCCCCAGCTTTACAATAGTCCTAACAATAGTCTGTATCTCATCTTTTATATCAATTACCTCCAGGAAATCCACTGGTTAGGTATACCATCACCTTTTGCAAAAGAAACACATGCAAAGGATGATACAATTACTGGACTGAGTAATAAATGATTCTTTTACCACTCAATAACAAAACCAAAAAATATTTGTCTTACACATTATAGTCATATGATTACAACTACTCAAGAAATTTGGCAGTGGACTAAAAGCAGGAGCTTTTCTTTCATAACATGCAATAATCACCAACTGTTCTAGAGCTCCTGGTAAATTTAGCCAGTATCTTCTCATTTTCTGTAATATGATTCTAAAAAATCTTCATTTTAAATATGGAAGTAACCTTTAAAAATAAATTTGGTTTTGTTGGAGAAAATTTAATGTATGCAAATCATGTATCAATAAAAATAAGTAGATGCTCTATAAAGGAGGTGGGAGAAGTAAATGTACCAATATGTCCTCCCATTGTTAACCCAAACTCAAACTGCACAGTAGCTTCAAGTCTCTTCAAATGCAATGGGCCCAATCCCAGAGTAGATAATTTTCGGATTCCATCACAGAGTATTTCAACTTTTTTTTTTTTTTTTAAATAATCAACCTTTCCTTTCTTCCCACCCACTCTTTGGCTTCCTCATTCCCCCTTCATTAGCACCTCCACAGGACAAATCAAAAGGAGATAAGGGAAACTAGAACACTTTTTTTTTTCTTTTAACATCAGGTTTGGTGGAGGCAAAGCACCAAATCTACCACCTATAACACGGCCTCAAGATCAACTGTGGTTTTTGAAAATCCATGCAGCACAAACGGGGTATGCTTTTTAGCTTTGGAAAAAGAAAAAAAAAAGACGATAATGGTTTCTCTCTGATTCTCCTAGGGTTTAACATTCTAAGAAAAGATCGCGGCACGTTCTTTAGGGCATTTTTTTTTTCTCTATAAGGACAATAGATAACTGGCGTAAAGATTTATTATTCTGAGCTATGCTGGGAAGGAGAGAGCTTCACATACAGACTTACCAACACACTATCTTGCAGGAGCCAGATCCTTGAATGAAGCCCAGTTCTTTTTCCGAATGGGTGTTTCCTGCCTTGGAAACACCGACCCCTTTCTCGGATCACAGCCTACACCTAACCTGGCCCGGCTCGGTCCGCCTCGGGTTTCCGTGCGCCGACGGC